CGGACGCTTAACCGACTGCGCCACCCAGGCGCCCCACCTCATCTTAATCTAACTCATTATACCTGCAAAATCTGATTTTTCCAAATAAGTTCCGTTTCGGAGTTCCGGGTGGACGTGAATTCGGAAGCGGGGGTCGGGGGGATACTACTCAACCCGGTACGTCTCTCCTGGAAAACCCGCCCTTCCCGGGCCAGCTGGCCATCTATCAGGAACGGCCCCTGCAGGGCGGTCTCCCTCTGCTTCCCAGCGGGGCAACTGCTCCTGGCCCTTGAGTTTCTGGAGCCTCCAGTCCGTGTCAGGGCTGAGGGGCTGAGGCCCAGCCCGGTGCTGGAGGGCCGGGGAGGCGGCCTGCGACTGCCCACCTCCCGTCAGGGATCTGCCCTCACCCTTCCAGTCCCTGGGCCAAGACACCCAGTCCCACCGGCCACCCAGGGACAGTGAACTCCCTGTCTCAGCACTTCAGCTTGAAAGGGCTCCCAGCATGTGGGGGCTTGTGCCTGAAGGCACCACCCCACCCTGGACCACAGGCTTTGGGGATCCAAGAGGCTTCCCAAGAGCCCCAAAGGAATGTGGGTTCCATTTCACACCCGTTTCCGGAAGGCCCCATCTCTGCCCCTGCGACGTTTTCATCGTGAGCGGCCCCCCTGCCCCCATCCCAGGCCCTCGGGCTGTTCGCCTCCGGGAAGAGGGTTGGCTTGGCAGTTCCTGCTCTTGCCGTGGGCCGGCCAACCCAGAAGCACCAGAGATGGTGACGAGGTGACTGCTGTTTTCAGCCACCAAGTTCTGGGGCAGTTTGGTGGCAGGAGACAACGGGAACGAGTTTGTTTCACTTTGTCTTGGGGCCTTTTCTTTCTGGCTCAATTTTGGTTGCATGTAAGATGTGTACAAGGTGGGAGGGCCCGGTGCCTCCATATCAGGGCGGCTCTCATGCTCACAGAGGCACCGTGCTCCCCGTGGCTGCGGTGCCCCCGAGGAGCACCGGGTGCCCGGGGGACGGTCAGCCCCCGGAAGGACGCTGCGGCGAGGGGCACACACACATCGGCACGCACGCGGGCATCTCTCCGGGTTTCCCACAGCGGGGCCCCAGGCGCAAGGGCTGAGGGGGCCTACACACGGACGTCCCCGAACTCCCCCATGGGGGCCACGGTGCCTGGTGCTGCCGTCAGTGCTGCGTGAGACGGCGTCTCCCGACCTGACCACCCGGCACCGACCACCCTCGGGTCCGAGCAGGTGCCCAGCCTTGGCAGGTGTGCAGCCGCGCTGAGCCGGCTCCACCCGCACCGTCCTCGACAGGGTTCTGCCGAGGATGCTCTGCCCCACTCCCCCCCCCCCCCCCCCCCCCCCCCCCCCCCCCCGGCTGGGACCTGGCGACAAACAGCTGCCCTCCCCACCCCACCCCCTTATCTCCGCGGCCAGCTTCGGGATCCGGGCAGCGGCCGGGGCCCGCCCTGCTGAGCCAGCCCTTCGCTGCCCCCGGAGCGCAGGACAGCGGTCGGAGCCGTGGCGGTGTGTTTGCTCAGCAGAACGAGAGGGGCCGACCGAGCGGCCTTTGTGTGGGTGTCAGCGGCCTCGCCAGTCTGAGCCTGCCTTTCTCCCGCTTAAATACCTCCAAATGCACCGGCGCGCAGAGGTCAGCCGATAGCGATCTGCAGGGGGAGAGATTTCCCGGCTGAGCGGCGCGGCCAAGTCGTGCCCTGCTGAGCAAGCGCCCCGGAGCCGCTTCCGCACCAGGGCCGGGCCTGCGGGCGACAGGCCGCGGCACAGAGGACGCGCAGCCCTGCTGCCTGGAAAAGTTTATTACGGAGTCTCAGAGCTGACGACGGCAGGTGAACACAATTCTCAATTTGGGACCCGAGGGCCACTGTAAACATCATGGAGCGTGGGGCAGTGTCACTAAGGACGCAGAGAGAAAGCCGTCAGGCCACCGACGGCTTGGTGTGAAAACCGAGTCCCCTGCTGTTTCATTTGAAGCTTCCGTTTTGAACCATTTGCAGGTACTCCTTGTGGAGCCTCTCCTGAGCTTCCAAAAGCTTCTTCAGCTTCTTGGCTTGCCCTTTGCTCAGCTCTTTGCCCTCGCTGTCATGTGTGGGCAGACCCTGGGGACGGAGGGCACGGGGGTCACCTGCACGCACCTGACTCCCGCTTCCGGGCTCACAGACTCGCGCTAGGACGCGCCTGGGCGGGTACCCGCCACGGCGCACCAACCCCAGTCACCGAGAGGCCGGTCTGGGGACGCCCTCCTCCCGCCCGGGGGCGAGGGCCACTGCTCCCTCTGGAGGCATCGTGGCTCAGTCCTGATGGGACCGGCCCAAGCGTAAGAACCAGTAAGGAAGACCCAAGGGTCTAGCGGCAAAGCGGCCGAGCCCCGCCGGAAGGAGGAGCCCTGGGGACAGCGCCCTCGCCTCCTGAGTCGCGTTCCCGGCCAGCTCAGGAGCGACACCTTGTCTCGGTTTAGCCAGGCCACGACTCAGTGCGGCCGCCGCCACGGTGGGGGGGGAGACACGAGGGGCCACAGGCACTGACCCCGGATAGCGCCTCCCCGGGACTGAGCCCCAGACAGAATAGCCGCTCGCCCGAGGCTGGAGATCCCCACCATTTAGGAGCCCAACGAGGTTCTGAAAAGACAAAAAAGGGCTTCTTACGTTTTCATCAAACTTGGAGTATTTGTCAGTCTCTGACAAGAACATCTCACTGGGTGAGATCTTCATCTTGGCCAGTTTCGCCGCCTGCAACACAGACCCTCCGTCACCGCAGGCGAGCCCACGAGGGGAAAGGCGTGACCTCGCATCACTCCCGCCCAGCCCCGGGTTCAGAGAGCGACAGAAGGCGGGGCGGAGCGAGTCAGAGGAGGGACGACGACAACCCAACACCGAGCTTCATGGTTTTTCTACGGCACGTCGAGAAGCTCGTTCCGGACGATCACGGCAGCGGGAACCCGGGAGGGTGCCGCTGGTGGGCGCGGGCGCAGGCCCGGCTGGGCCCAGGGAGGCACAGAGGGCAGGGCTCGGGGTCAAAGTGTGCACTTCCTCCCAGGAGAGCCCGGGCCCCACACGGACGGCGCGTGGTACCTCTTGTTCCTGTTTCTTCCTGGCGGCCCCCTCTTTCTTCCTCCTCTTCTCTTCTTCAACCTGGGGGGAGCAGGGGCCCCATGAGCCAGGTCTGCCCCAGGGCCTCCGGGGGTGGGAGGCGGAATAAAGCAAGTGCCCGCCACCCCCCCCGCCCGGACTGTGACCCGGCCCAAAACCCACGCGGGGAGCGGGGAGCCCTCGTTCATTCCCCGCGCGGATGATGCCCAGGGGCCGCGAACCAGCACGCGTGACGAGGTCCGGGGTGCGGCTGGCACGAAGGCAGGAGCAGAGCAGCGAGCCCGGCTGGGGGGCTCTGTCGCATGGGTGAGCGGGGACAGCATCGCGAGGGCCCAGAGAGGGTGAGGGCGGGGGGGTACAGGGCAGCAGGTGCCAGGACACGGGGCCTGGGCCAGGGAAGGGGCCTGCAGGAGACAGGTGGAGGCCGGAAGCCCGCCCCCACCCGTAGCCTGCGTCAGCGCAGGGCCGAGGGGGGGGCGGCCTGGGAGCAGGGGCGGGGAGGGGGTCCCCGGGCCCGGGTGTCGGGTGGTGCCCGCGAGGACAGGCGCAGGGCCCCGGCTGTGCCACCACCGACAGGAGGGAAGGGCAGGTTTGGGGAGTTGAGTCATGATACCGTCTTGGAATCTGGGGTTCTCAGGCGGGCGGCTGGGTAAAGGCAAGCGTGGGGCCAGAGAGAAGCAGGGGGGGTCCCGGGCAGACAACCGTGGGACGGGGCCAGGTCAGGGGAGGGCCGGCGCAGCGGGCAGTGGCGCTACGGGAGGCTGCACCTGGGGCCACGGCGAGCGCGAGCAGCAGCAGGCAGGGCCGCCCCCCTGCCGCCCTCAGCAGAGCCGCCGTCTGCCTCTGTGCCCCACGAGCACCTGCACGGGCAGAGCGCCAGCGGAGCAGAGCGGTAGGCCGACGCGTCTGCTTCCCGGCCCAGCCCGCAGGGATGGGACACAAGGCTGGGCCACGGGACGGGGCGGACACGGGAGGATCGGGGAGGCCAGCTATCGAGAACCTGCCCTGGCTCCCCGCCCCCTCGCCCCGTGAACCGCGCGCCCGGCCCCCCCGCTTCCTGGGCAGATGGAGGGGTGACTGGCGGGTCCCACCTCAGGGACAAAGGGGACGGCACTTCCGTAGGGGCAGGTACAGCCCAACATGTCAGCTGCGCTTTACTGAAAGGGACCTATTCTCCCTCAAACCCCGGGAGGAGCTTTTTAAGAAGAGGGTCCTTCCTTAGAAGGCAGACCTTCCCGTCACTGGATCACCCGGCGGTCACACGCAATTAGGTCTCCCCCGACACTCGCAGCCACGGGGCCTTAGCACAGGAGCCGGCGCAGCACAGAGCACACGAACGCCGCTGGTCTCGTGTCCCCGTAAGTCCGCAGTGGCTCCAGCACCACTCACCCGTCTCTTCTCCTCTCTCTCCTTCAGCAAGGTCTCTCTGTCCCCCAGCTTGACCACGGTCGGCAGCCCTGAAAAGCCAAGTCTGTGAGACGGGGCCCGGCCTCCACGCCGCCCACGCGGCCCTCGCGCCCCCTCGCTTCAACGGCCTCAACGTTAACTGTGACGCGGGAAGGCCTTGCCGCTCGTGATGGAAAGCCCAGAGGTCATAAGATAGGACAGGTCCCCTCAGTGTTTAAAATCTAATAATCTGCCAATAGTCAAGCCCAAACCCCCACTAAGTCGGAAGACACACAGTGAAACCGGAGGACAATCCCATAGGCTGTCTCCCGAGTGACAGACAACAAGCAGGGGTGGCCGGTGGCCTAGCCGCTGAAACGCCGGTCAAACGCAGGAGGTGTCCTCGACGGCCACAACCACAAATCTACAAGGCCGGCCCCCAGGGGCCACGGGGGCACCACTCCGGGACCCCTCCTCACGTAAAACCCCAGCGTCCTCTGACCCTGTCTCAGAACTTTTTAAAAAACACAGCCCCCCACCCACCACCCCAGAAGCTCCTTACAACGGGTCCCCAGAAGCAGCCAGGGGGACCCACCTTCATGATCTTCGAGCCGCACCCCGAGCTCGGGCAGGATGTCGTCCCGCAGGGCGTCGCTGAGCTGCAGGACCTCAGGGACTATGGACAAAGACAGCAGCTCAGTCAGACCAGACACGAGGCGCGCCCAGGACGCGGCGGACGGGCGCCTTCCTGAGTGCCGCAGAGGGAGCCCAGGCCTGGCACGAACGGGGCCGCTGCTAAGAGTGGCCACGGTCTGCGCCCTGCCCTAGGACGCCGATCAGAGGCAGGTGCTGTCTGAAGACACACAGGGGCTGGTCCCAGGGACTCTGAGCAGGGCAAGGTCAGGGCCGCCCCAAGCCAGGTGGGCAGCTGGCCCAGGGAAACTAGGTTTCCCTGAACAGAAAAGAGGCCCGGAGGGGCGCCCGGCGGGGGGCTCAGTCAGTTAAGCGTCTGACTTCGGCCCAGGTCAGGATCTCACGGTTCGTGGGTTCGAGCCCCGTGTCAGGATCCGTGCTGACAGATCGGACCCCGGAGCCTGCTTCCGATTCTGTGTCTCCCTCTCTCTCTGCCCCTCCCCTGCTCGTTCGTTCTCTCGCTCTCTCTCTCTTAAATATTAAAACAAAACAAAACAAACAAAACAAAACACAAGAAAAATAATAAACCACTCCAAACACCTGGCCAACTGGGAAGGCATCCGGGAGTGCTGAGCCCCTGCAGCCCGGCGCCATATTCCACACTCCAGGACCCAGGGACCCAAGGCCACCCGCACGTCCTGCAAAGGCTCCTTGCACTCTTCACATCGCAGTCAGGCCCGGGGCAGGCCCAGCGGTGACGAGTCTAGGCTCCCCCAGCTCCCCCATTTCCCCCCTTGTTCTCGTGGTGAAACGTGCTCCCGTCCACACGCTCCCCCGCCCTCCACACGTCCTCGGGACTCCACAAGATTCCAAGCCCCCACCAGCAAGAGCCGGAAACGGGCCTGGAGGTTGGGGCGGACCCCAGAGCTGCTGGCATTCTCGGAGATGCGGGAGGCCCAGCCGAGGGGTGCGGGAGGGCCGGAGGCCTGGGGGACAGGCACAGGTGCGGGTGACCCTGCCTCGAGCACCAGCTCCATCCACTGCGGGCACGCCGCTCCTGGCCAGGCCTCAGCCCACCCCCAGGCGTGGGCCAGAGTGAGCAGAGGGCCCGGGAAGTCCAGGAGGAGGTACAGAGCCCGCCGTCCCACTGGCTTTGAAGTGACGCCCCGAAGAAAGAGCACACACACCCCGACCCAGCAGACGGAGTGGGCAGGGGTGAGGTGGCCACCGACGTGGCCTTCAGACCTCAGTGGACGGTCCCTGCGGGTTCAGACGTTCTCAAACCTCCGTGTCAGTCTCTGTGAGTCCCAGAGGCAGAGCCAATGACCACAGGCTCGCTCCCTCCAGGCCGGGGACGGCGGCCTTTACGGTTCTGCGGCAGCGGTCGCAGGGCGAGCCCGGCGGCCAGAGGCCCTGTTCCCAGGAGGCTCAGTGCCGGGGATGAGGCGGCAGGGAGAAGCAGTCCGTCTGCCTTGGGGGAGAAGAGCGCCCCGCTCAGGAGCTCCGCCATGAGGACCTGACCTCCGTGAAGGACATTCAGCCGCAGTGAGAGCCCCGCGGGTCGGCTGGTACCTGGGACCAGCCGCCCGCCAGGCGGGGCCAACATTCACGTCTGTGAAGCGGGCACGTGCTGCCATCCCTGAGAGCTCACAGGGTCTGGTGGCGCCGGGACACTCTGTCGTTCACAGCCAGGTCCCAGACCGGATCAGCTCACGCTCCCAGAAGGCCGCCTGGCCCAGCCGCCACGCCCACCAAGTCCCGGGCTGGCCCAGCCCGCACCTGCGGAAATCAGCGCGGGAGCTGGGCTGTTACAGGCACGTCTGTCTCGCAAAAGGTCTAACGGTCACAGACCACAGAGCGAGGGTCTTCCGATGTCGGGACAGGCGTGCCGGGGCCCGGCCTCATCTCGCGGATGCACCACGGCCGGCGTCTGCCGAGTCCGCC